AGGAGGGGCAGGTTAACCTGGCCTCCCAGCGGCAGGGCTGCTGCTGGCCAGTCTCCAGGACGGGCAGCTGGGCCAGTCCAGTCCGGTGCCTTCTCATGCTCCAAGGCGAGCCGGCGGAAGGGGGGGGGGCGATTGCACCTTCCCTGCTGCTCCCAGTGCCCTGTCCGTGCTGCTCCCCTGGGGCTCTGTCCTCGGCTCCTGCCTTTGGGCGAGCGCCCGCGTCCCGCTCCCTGCACCTCTGCTCAGGCTCCCCCGGCCGCAGACCCGTGTCCGCACTGAGCCAGCCCCAGCCCCCTCCTCCCTGTGAAGCCCCTGACCCCCGCTGGGCTCTCTCCGTGGCCCCAGCGCTCCAGTGGCCATGCTGCCGGGGGAGCAGGAGGGGAGCGTGGGGGCAGGGGCTGGGCCGGGGGAGGGGGCGACAGGCCTGGCTGGAGCTGGGGAGAGAAGCTCAGCCCTGGCCCCCCGGCTCCTTGTGCTCGCAGCCCTTCCTGGAGGAGAGGCGCGGAGGCCGCCCCCACTCCAAGCTGTGGGGCCCGGAGACGGAGCCACCCAGCCGCCCGCACCAAGACAGGTGAGTCCTGGAGCCAGGGAGCAGCCCGGCTCTGCCTTCCCCCCTCAGCCACTGGCCGCCCTCCCAGCCTCGCAGCCCGCCCCCCCCCCCGGCTCTGCCTTCCCCCATCAGCCACTGGCCAGCCCTCGCAGCCCATCCCCCCCGGGACTGCCCTCCCCTCCCCCTCAGCCACTGGCCGCCCTCCCAGCCTCGCAGCCCATCCCCCCCGGGACTGCCCTCCCCTCCCCCTCAGCCACTGGCTGCCCCCCAGCCCCACCCTGCCTCGCTGTCCCTCTCCTCCCAGCTCCTGCCCTCCCTTCCCCCCTCACCCTCCCCTCTTTCCAATCTACATCGCCCCCTGCCCCCCCATCGCTGCCCCCACCTGCTCTCACGAGGCTCCCCTGCGGGTGGCTGCAGCACGGAGCCCCCTCCCTCCAGGAAGTCAGTGCCCTGTGCTCCTGAGCGTCCCCCTGAGGCTGAGGAGCGCAAGAGTGACCGCAAGGAGAATCGCGGCAGCACCTTCTTTGGGTACCGGCGGCAGGAGCAGCGCCAGTCCGTCCTGGAGTCCCCGGAGCCCAAGGTAAAGCTGCCCCCGGCATGAGCCGCGTTCCCCTGCATGGCACCTCCCCAGCCCATGGCCCCTGCCGGGCCTGCACCCCCCACGCTGTGGGCTGCGTCCTCCCCAGCACGTGCCCCTCGCTGTGCCCCCTGCATGCTGTGAGCCGTGGTGCCCTCGCTGCCCTGGGCAGGTGCCCGAGCACAGCGGGGCTGGGACATGGCCCTGAGGCCTGCCTAGGTGAGAGCGGCCTGGCCTGCCGCACAGAGCCCCGGAGTCTATTCCCAGCTCAGCTGCTGGGTGAGGCCCAGCTCCTCTGTGCCTCAGTTTCCCCATCTGTGAAAGGGGGATAACAAGACGAGCTAGAGGATTCATGTTACTCCCCCACTCAGCATGTGCCAGCAACCCCTGCGCCCCAACGCTGTGTCCCTGCGCCCTGTGGGCTGGCCCCAGCTTGGCCGTTGCTGCTGGCCCATTAGGTGCCTGGGAGGAGGCTGGCACCTGCTGCCCCGGGACCAGGAGCCCAGGGCTGGGGACCTGAGCTGCTGCCCCTTGCTCCCCCAGGAGGAGAAGTGGAGACTCTCCCGGAACATGACTGAGAGCTGCCTGGCAGGTGCCGAGGGAAAACAGCCACCCCCGGAGAGAGATGCCAGCGCTGCATCCCCTACTGCAACAGGTACGGACACCCTCTTCTCCTCCCCCCCCAGCGTGGCACATCCGGACACCCCCTTCTCCTCCCCCAGCACAGCACATCCGGGCACCCTCTTCCCCTCCCCCGCAGCACGGCACATCCGGGCACCCCTTCCCCTCCCCCCCAGCG